TATATATATATATATATATATATATATATATATATATATATATCGTGTTCAAATTTTCAATTGTTAATAAAATACTTTTTATTCATCCACTTAAGTTCAAATACATGTTTTTACACTTATAGTGGATGTCACATTATGTTAAAACATTTTTTAAATTATTATTACATTAACAAAACCTAATTATTGGATAAATAGTAACAAACTAAAATAATTATCCAACAGCATATATAAAAAGGAAAATCACTCGTTGTGTTAGTGTAGCACAATGGATAACGCGTTGGACTTCTAATTCAAAAAGGTCGTGGGTCCGAAATCCCACCTGGAAAGGCCTAATTTCTGAGAATGTGATTTCTTTTTACTACACGATTTTATTAGAATAATTAAATTTTATTAATGAATCAGTAGAGACAAACATAAATAATAATCCAACATCATATACAGAAAGGAAAATGGGAAATCGCTTTCTGTTTTTCTGCTAAATATTGTGATTCTGTCATACGTATCTACCTATTTATATTAACTGTAACTATTTAATAAAAAGTAACTAAAATAAAAATTTTTTTGTTGACCTAAGTAGGAATTGACTGTAAAAAAAATTATGCTACTTGTTATATTTCCTCATCTTTTTTCCTTTACTTAAATTTGACATTTGTATCTGATGACGTTTGTATCTGTCATGAAGCTTCCATTTTAATGGCCAGCAGTGTAAACATATTATTTATGTTTATGAGTGTAGTCTGTTCTATTTCTAGAAATTTTTAACATGTAGCAGCTCTATAATCAGTGATTATTTACTCCTCTTATAGTGGATTGCTATTCATTTTGTAAAGTATTCATTAAATATTAATTTGTAGGATATTTGTTTCACTTTCATCCTTTATGTATACTTAAACGCAGTGCTTCTCAAACTTCCAATGTTTGGAACGAAATGTTCAATCATAATTTTCATCGAGCCCCCCCTCTATACAATAATAATGTATTGTGTGAATTCAAAAATACTATACTTTGATGCTAAAACTAAAATACGACTTAAATATCTTAAGGGCCATAGGCGTATATAAACGTCTCGCTCAGCTAAAGCGTTATTTTTAAAGGACGTACATATACGTCAGTCCGAAGTATGATTTTATCTGTGCACTGCTATCCATAATATTATTCAGAACTCTTTGGAATGCAATAAAAGAACCTTGACAGAGTGTTTGAGAAGGATGTACTTATTTCAGAGGATTTGCTTATTTATTCCTTTTCTCCCACCCCACACCCCATACATCACATAGGCAGACCTACGTGGAAAACGGTGGCATTGGGAAGCGAATCACGTAACTTTTAATCGACAGTTAAGAGATTAATTATAAGCCATACAAATTATCAAGATGAGTATTAATTTTTGTATATCATTTTGTATATGATCAGACCTCAGGGAGACACTGGTAATTATACTTGGTCTTAACTTAGAATTGTTAAATTAATTATAAAATACATTGTGCAGTAGTGATACATTTATAAGTGTATTATATCAGTGTAAATGTGTATTTTATTTTTTAATATGTCAAAATTTATTTTGTTTTTTTACTTTCAGAAAAAAAGTAATTTATAAAAAATAATATTTTGTTTCAATTTGCTCGCACCCCCTTGTAGACTTATCGGGCGCCCCAAAGGGGGCGCGTCCCACAGTTTGAGAAACGCTGTTTTAAGGTATTTTTTTCCCTACAATACTCAGAATACAAACAAATAAACGCGTAATGTTAAAATACTTCATTCTAATACACACACGTTTTTTTTTTTTGGAGAACTTCATATCCATAGCTGAATTTACTAGGTATTTGATTTAAATTATGAATTACCACTTATATCTCTCTTTTCTTGCGTGATTAATATAAAATAAAATTCAAAAAGTTCTTGAGTAATGTTTTTTAAAATTTGATTGAAATTAAAAAATAGCCTTTTTTTAATAAAACAATCTCTCTTTCTTGGAATATTATAGATGATTCTATACTGAGTTTTGAGAAGTTTGGATTGTTACAATTTATATGAGTGTTATTTTGTTATGTCTAGACCAATATTTTCTGAGAGAAAATTATTATATATCAATAAACTTAAATAATAATACATTTTAAACGGAAAAAGTTATCTGTGTTTTGCAAGAAAGAACATTCTCAGTAAGTGTAAAATTTATAGTGCATATTTATGAAATATAAGTATAAAAGAATGTGAAATGTAAATATATTTCTTACGTCTAAAAGTAAATAAATATTAAAGTGCTATTTGCAAGTTTACGAACAAAAAAATGTTGAAATGAAATACTGATGAACTAAATGTTGTTTCTTTAGTCTAATTGCATAATGTAATTCAAAAATTGATTTATCTTATTTTGATAGTAGATCAACAATATTCTTTCTCTAAATAAAAAAGAGCTATTCTAAAAAATAATTCCAGTTTAGTAGTTACTAATTTGCAGATGAGGATTGATGCCGTTTTGCGATGAGGATTAATGCGTGCCCCTGAAAACCGCTTATGCTTTTCAAACACACACACATATGCACAAGACGAAATTTAATCTCTTTAAGCCTCGGTTAATATTTGAATTGTTTTCGTGGCTGGTTTATCAAGCTTGTGAAGAAACTTGATGTTGATTCGGCATTTTTCCGGCAGAATGCCGTGGAACGTTTTCATTTAATGACGCAGCACTCCCAAATAGCGTGATAGATTAAAACGAAACTGATCGCGGAGGAGGTGCGGGGGATTACGTCACCAAAACAATGGTTGCCAACTCCACCTTTTTTTCAAGCTAGTCTCGTTTTTTGTGTCACACCATGTAAACAGATAGTAGAAAAATAATAATAAAAAAAAAGGTTTCCCAAATCTATCTTGATATGAGACAAATACACTCAAAGTGAAGACATTTAAATGTTTAAATAATTGTCTTAAATCGTCGGCTCAGTGCCTCAGAGGTAGGTGCCCGTTTCTCAAGCCCAATTTTGCGGGTTCAACACCGGTTGCTGTCGATAGATCTTCTAGATGCGAAAATTGTAGGCAAGCATGTCATACGTTTATGTGGCATTTAAAAGATCCCAAGAGTATCAATTTGGCTCTGGTACTCTCGGCAAAATCGAATCATGGAAAATATTGAGCGCATCTGACGAGAGCTTGAATTAAACACTGAATTAGAGAGTCCAAATTTCGTAGCGAGTCCCATCACTAGATGGTTCCACTGTGAAATAGCTCTAACATTTGGAGAAAGGACATGTCAGCAAAGACTAAGTTGCCAATATACAGCTCATATAAAAAATGATTCAAATCTTAATTTTAATGTTTCACACATCGTATACAAATCTCGTGAACACAAAACAGTAATTTATAAATCCATGGAACAAAATTTTTTTCAAGATGTTCATCACTGATCTTAACTAATAATGGTGAAAAATAAAGGTTTTGATGCACATAAATGCGTACATTATTTTCAAATACATATATAAGCAAAATTCCAGATCAAAATTATTCAAAATCTTAAGAAAATTATGATGCCTTCACTTTAAAAGTTAGTATTTCTCGGAAATATTAGACTACGTATGCTATTTTTTTCAATATATTCTTTTTATTACCAATTTGTTATATAATATTAAATCTATAGTGAAGATTAACATCATACTTTTTAGATTTATTAACACATATCTTATTAATAAGAAATGGAATGTCATACATATTGCTTATATATAAACTATAGAAAAATCTTTACAATTTATAAATTAAAAACTGAACAAGATTT